AGGACTGGGCCTTATATCTGCGGTTCTTCTCAGGCTGGGCCGGGCCACCCGGGATTGAGCAGAGCAGAATAAGTTAATGTTGCATTTCATGGAAAGGCAGAGAAGCCGGTCTCTCCCCAAAGCAAAAAAAGCTAAACAAAACTAAAACCAGAAACCCGGACAATCCAATGGAACCCACGAAGAAAACAGATTATTGCCATTAATGTTGCATCTTGGAGATTTCTATATACAGTGGTGCCTCGTATAACGAGTGCACCGTTGAATGATGAATCCGCATTGCGATGCGGATTTCCCCATCGCTAATGCGAGGGCATGCTCGCGTTACGATGGGGGAACAGCTGTTCGGCGGTTCCAAAATGGCCACCGGAACACAAAAAAATGGGTGCCGGTACACCCAAGATGGCCGCCGGGACTCTCAAACTGGCAGCCGGTACACCCAAGATGGCTGCCAGAACAAGGGGAAACATCGGAGAACAGTGAGTTTTGGGCCCATTTGGAACGCATTAAACAAAGTTTAATGGGTTCCAATGGGTTTTTTGGATCTGTTTTAAGATGTTTTCCCATAGCGAAGATTAATCCGGAACGGATTAACCTCGCTATGCGGGGCACCACTGTATATATATATTAACATTTTTTTTGCATTCACATCTCTGGAGATTTATCAGTTGAAGGCTTTCTTAGTGACAAGATCCTGGATGATTTTGTTGCAGATCACGAGCGGGACATCATGGCCTCCCTGTTGGAGAAGATGGCTGGGCAAGTGGAGGGATCACGACTCACCTAGTCCCAGACTTGTTCACCTGGAGGAGAGAGGCCAAGGCGACGAGTAATACTCACGACCGAGGAACGAATAGAAGCAGAAATGGGATTTTTTTCAATTTTTCTATCCTGTTAAATTACCATATTTTTCCATGTATAAGACTATACTTTTGTCTAAAATCTTTAGACTAAAAATTGAGGGTCGTCTTATACACGAACATATGCTGAGGAGAGAACCAAAACAAGTGGAGGGGAAAGCGGGGTTCAAAGCGATCCTGCAGCACTCTGATCCCTTTCCCCCTACACTTGCTAAGCCCCACTTCTATTTCTTAATTTTGGGTGAGAAAAGTGGGGGGTTTCTTATACATGGTGGCGTCTTATACACAGAAAAATACGGTAACTTCCCCAAGCTCTGGGTGTGCCAACCTTTCCCTTGAGAAACTCCTGTGCAGAGGGTTGCTGAATGTAATGCTGGTTTTGGTTTCTGCGTGCAGGAAGAAAAATCCACAAGAGGGGCAGAGTTCCCTCGGGTTTCTGCTGGGGATGTTGGCAAGCCTTTGGGTGTGAGTTCCAAGTCCTAGTTTGAATCTTGGGTACCAAGCCCTAAGCCCCAAACCCCAGATCTGAGTCCCTGTTAAAAACATTATTATTTTACTCAAGAAAGAAAGAAGGAAAAAGGGATGGGTGAGTAAGTTCTGAGTGGGGAGCCGAGTCCAATGCATTAAAGCCTGAGTCGAGTCACCTGTGTCACTAAAGACCATGAATCCTGCAACTTTGAGTTCCTGATCCTGGTTTCTTCACATCTAAAGAGAGCATGGAATCGGCTTGTTTCCTGCATGCAGTGTTTCCCCCCGCTTCAGCTGCCAGAATGGAAGGTTTGACTTGTTGTGAAGGCTCCGCTTGGCCAATGGGAGAGTGAACCCTGTTGGAGTTTTTACAACCTCGCAGGCTGCTCAGAGAAGGTGTGGCTGGGAGGGACGTCTATTAGCTGGGCGACTGCCAATCTATCTAGCACTTACCAATGGTTCCCTCCTGAATTCAAAGAGAGCCCCGCCTCTCTGCTCAGTGCTGTCCCCCTTTTGTAAGCCTTTTGAGGTCCGTTGTTGAAAGCAGCCATGTTTCTCAGGTTGTTGTTTCATCTGTTCAACTGTAAGCAACAAAACCTTTTATTCTTTCCCCTACTCGTGTCTCAGAGTGAGATACTGATGTGCTGAGTGCCAGTCAATGAGAAGAAGGGGGGTGGACTAATCTGGGGAACTGGAAGCTATTCTGCTCTCTGAATCCCTCTGCTCTTCTGCTGCGTAGCCAAAGGAATTATACCAGAAATCTAAAACTTGGCAACAGACCCAGCCTAAAAGGATCCAATCCTCCCTATTGAGAAGGCTGGGCCAAGACAAATCTATGATATAGGTTGGGAGAGGAGGCGATTCCTCCATTAGTTTTGCCTTAGTGGGAGCAACTCGATTTGGGGGAATCTCTTGGCTATTCCAGCACAACCTCTGAAAGAGCTGTGCTGACCAAGAAGGGCTGTGTAGCAGGTGATCCATAGCACCATGTCATCAGATGAGCCGTATCAGCTGTTGAATATCAACCCCCCAATCCTCGCTTTTCATTTGTTTATGA